GTCTTTGGGGGCAGGGGGAGGAAACCTACTAAGAATGAAAGGGTGCTTAATGCAAAAAAAATCTCCATCAAACATGGTTCATACTAACCAGAGTTAAGAGGCCACCCTGGTTTGCTTCCAAACAAGCAAAACGTAATTTAGAACAGTTTTAGAAATTACTCCACTTACTTACAGTAGAGTAATGGCACTGACGGATTTCTGGTGGTCCATCCATTCAAACATAAACAGTGAACCTTCTGAATGCACTTTCAGATCTGTATTTTACCAGCTCGAGACAAACATGTTTAAAGGTCAGCGCTGATTCAATGAACCATGATTAGTTAAATAAACCATGATTTTGTGCTGTATCTGAACCCAGCCATATTCTGAAGAAATACATCAGGTTAGTGTCTTTTGATTGTAAATTTAATATGCATTAAGCAAATTTCAGTTAACCCCCAAGTCACCCTTGATTTTTCAATTAAAGTTGTTTATTCAGTGTGTTAATAAAGCAGCCTTTCAACACATGCCCTTGTTATAGCTGCTTGCCCCTGCTTTTCGACTGGACATTTTTAGGACTCATAATCATTAGTTTCGACTCAGTTTACATTCTTCTACCATACCAATTGTAAAGGCATGTTTTTATTATCTGTGCTTGAAACGTGATATCAGTGCTGTTAGTCTACTCATGCAAATAGAACCTTTTCTTCCTCTCCTCCTCATGGGATATCCACCATGAGTCTCCTTAATAGGGTTACCCTCTGGAGGTTTGGGTGGAAGAGCAGGGGAAGGAGGCATGCCTTCTGCTAATGAAGGCTGTTCTTGCCTAGGGAAGGTGTGAGTGAGATACCACCCTTAATACTGATATATTGCACTGTTAGTGCATAAATGTAAATCACTGTTATTCAACAGCTGTCTGTCAAAGTACATTTGCACTTTACCATTCTGATTATTAACTAGTTTTGATTTGTTGATGTTATTCCAGCTTTGTAAAGTAGAACCTGCCCTGCAGTAATTGGGTGACCCCACAGGTTGGAATAAGTGGGACATACTTGTCTTGAGAACTGGCTACATCTGAGTAGCTGGATACTTTGTGCAAAGTGGATGTGATAGGAAAATGAGATACTCGCTTTGTACAGAGTCAGATCCAATCTTCATCCTGTCAACACTGATTGGCAATGGCTTGCCCAGATTTTGAGACAGAATTGTTTTATATGCTAGGGATTGACCCTAGAACTTTCTGTATGCACAGCTTCTGTTCAGCCACTGACCAGTGGCCTTAGCCCTAGCAATAGCACTAGGGTGGAGGCTGGCAGCTCCCGAATGTTGCCACCTTCTGACCCCAGTGTCATTTCCTCTAGACCCATTCATATGCTACATTCAAACTGCCTGGACACAGATAATGCTTTTCAGGATCTGTCCCACAGTTCCAGAAATACAGAATAATAACAGAAATTTTGTAAGCAAAACCCATAATGTGCCCCCCCTGACCCACATCTATAATTTCCAGCACATGAATACCCTTGCTTTCTCCAGGCACCTTAGTGCAAATGGATACTTGACAACTAAAGACTGGTTGTTTTGCAAGGTCTCCTTAGAGGTCCTGAGGAAGACACGATCTAATTACTATGTTTAGAGATTGATTCTAAACCCTCTGGATTAAGCACAAGGTGGTTGCTTTTTGTTGTATTATTTTAATGTAATTATGACTCCAAATAATGATTCATATCTAAATGTTCTGTAACTTACCTTTAAGTTACTAGTTACAAAGAACAAGGAAGACATTAGGAAATGGCAGAAGAGGGGTCAAGATAGAGGTGTGGCTTGCTGTGAGGGAGACGTGTCTGCGGCAAAAAGCAGAAATCTGACTTCTGGGTGTTACCTCAAATTCACATTCCACTGCCATAAATGTTTGAAGTTTACTGATCAGTGTTTTACTACTTCTTGAATCCCTTTTCTTGTAGATTTGGGAGCTCTTATTTCAGACAGCTTGTGCTAGGTGATGAAAGCTTTGCCACTTAATAAGCTTGTACATCAAAATGTAAATGTTTTCAATAATTCTGTTCTTTCTTCACACTCTCAGTCATCCAGGAGTATTTTAAAAAGGAAGAAAGTGTCCTGGCTAAAAACATTTGAATGTAATGCTATTGTATAATAAATTATACAACAGAACTGCTAGTAGGGTCAAACAAATTCTGTCTTTCAAATGTTAAATGTGTTGTGTATATGTATATATTATGCTATAGAAATAGATAGTATATACAAGATGGCTATATCTTATAAAATCTTCTCTAGACTGCTCATTGGGGACATTGAATCCTACTCCATTACATGCCCTTCCTGAAAAGTTTTATTTCCTTGGATATTGATAAATATAAGAAGGTACTAGATTTTGGAAGGAGGGATTATTATGAACACACTCCAGTGGTGAGTTAACTGAGTTTGCTCCAGCTTGTACTGGAAAAGTAATTTTAGAAGTGAATTGCTGTGCTGGCATGGTTCATGTGTTATATACTTCAGTATGGCTTATTGGTGCTATATAGGTTTGTTCCTTTCACCACACCTACTACCCCAAGAAAATTGGGATTTCCACCCCCCCTTGAACTACTCTTTTTCACTTCCCCAGGGAAAATTACTTCTAAAGGTGAAGTGATGGCATGTATGATTTTTCAGAGAATCCACGCGTCCTTCACATTCTAATAAGCCTAGCCTAAGCCATTTGTTCTATAGATATGTTCCTGTGGCTTCTCTTACATTAAATTGAGGGTGTGCAACTGCTTTCACCTTCTGATTCTTCCCAAGAGCATACTTATATAATGCACTAATACCCAGCTGGATTGGGGGTACAGTTACTTATAGTAAAAGATGAACATGCTAGTAAATAGTCTGGAGAGAGGAACATCAGGTGGCTCTTTGAAATCCAATCTCTAGCTCAAAAGGACCCCATTTTGTTCTCAATCTGCTACCAGAAGTAGTGGCTTGAGGGCAAAAGAACAGTCATCCCAGCTTACTAGTTGCCTGTTCCTTTTTATGGAGGAACCAGCATTAAGCAGGTATATGTGCACTGTGCTATTTGAATGATTGCAACAGTCTATAAAAAGGAGGCCAAAACTGCTGCAGCTGAATATTGGCTGCCTTTCAGAAAACCCTCTGAAACCAATGAAAATGGTTTCATGATTTAAAATAAAATCATTATTTTAAAAAGCAGAAAGTACAGAATTTTATTTTCTCTGTACCAAAACAACACATAAGAATGTCTCTTTGATAGACCCTTGTAACTTGAATAAAGAAGGAAAGAAAATTGGTACCTTAACAGTTTTGTGAATACTGTTTTCAGCTGAGTCAATAGAGTTAAATTTTAGATCTGTTCTATAAGCACTGCTTGTTTTTTAAACTACATGCCTGAAAATTTACCTTTTTATTATTTCCCAAATTGTGTTCCACTCTATTTTGTTCAAGCAGATTGTTTCTCAGTGAATATAATTGTTAAATTAGAGGTTTAATAACATGCGCGATCTAAAACTAAGGTGTAAATGTTTGTATTTTCATGGCTGATGAAAATGCTTTGTTTCCACTGACTTGTAGGGAGAACTAGGGAGAATTTTATTTTTCAATAAACTTTTTCTTGTGTGACTGAGTTGTGTTTTCTATCCCAATAACTCTCCCTTCCTCCTGGCTTGGATATAATACCGCTTGATATTCCATCA